AAAACACATTCCCTCAGTGCTCTCCAGGATCCTGTCTTGATGATGTAAATTAAGACCGAGATCAGAAGACCCGCCCAGTCGAAAATCATAACCTCCCGGATGTTTTGATTTGAGCACCCATGATCTCGTCATCGCTCGGCACACCTCGGCAAGAACACGTCTTGGACTAGTGAGGGCAGAGCAGAGAGGGAAATAAACAGATATGATGGCAAATCTTCAAGTGCTGTTCAAGGAATCTGCGAAGCTTCCCTAAAAACAGCACATACCCAGATCTTTTCTCTGGTCAAGTATCACCATTCGACCTAAATCTCAAAGATAAAAAATAATGCACTGTCGACATCATCTTGTTAGGAGATGATTAATGATTCAATACAAACCATGAATTGAATCACCGTGAATTGAAAATTGAAGTCATGTTGGTCAAGATTCGACTTATTTTTATAACAAGAATGTTTGCTATCTAATTAGCCCATACATCTCTGCTCATGCGAGGATTAAGTATCTGACTGTGGAACTTAGCTAAGTTAGCTAACAAAGGGTGATTAATGTACATACAATAACAAAAGGGGGCTACTAAAAAGCGCCCGCAAATAAAACCTGAGACCGCCCGCTTTTAGAATCCGGTGGTTACTAAGATTGTTGGACTGAACTGTGGTACAGTCCCGAGGTCCTGATCTGTGTGATCGTTGGAATCCAATCAAACAGAACCGGGCGGTCTTGAAAGTTATCGAGAAGCCCTCAAAACCTCCCGGTACACACATCTCACAACCTGGATAGCAAGTTGCCACCCGAGTTGCCGAGCTTCTCCCAGAGATCTACTTGTGTGCAACCAGACTCTAGAGTTCATACAATATTTATAGGGCTCGCTGGTGGGGCTGATGTTAGGAAGGGATCCTGAGTACAAAACAAAAGGCTTTTACACCCTCCTCCTAGATTCCGACTCGATGAAGCTAGAATTGCCCGTATGTCTGCCAGTCTCTTCATTTGGCAAGTCTTGAAACTTTGACCAGACCAAGTGAGGGATCAAACCCCATTAAACTGTTTGAATGGTCACAACAGCTCAGAGCCTTGAGTGTCTTTTGAGCAGAGCTTAACAATCCAGTTGAAGTTAACAATCAATATGGTGGATGAGATGTGTGTAGCGGGAGGTTTTGAGGGCTTCTCGATAACTTTCAAGACCGCCCGGTTTCATTGGATTCCAACAATCACACAGTTCAGTCCAACAATCTTAGTAGCCACCGGATTCTAAAAGCGGGCGGTCTCAGGTTTCATTTGCGGGCGCTTTTTAGTAGCCCCCTAACAAAAAAGGCAGAAGGATTGGCCCAAAAAATACTCATGTTGTGAGTATGTCCATGAAATCATCAAAAAAACCCTTGGTGTTCCCAAGGAGCAGAAGAGCCTTTTAAGGCAGGTTCTTTTTGTGCATGATGTCTGCAACCGTTATTACCTAAACTTCTTGCAAGGAGCGAGTGACAACTTTGGTCTATGGATTGCTCGAACCCCCAGATGAGTGGCAGTCGACGAGGTACATACGTCATATTCATCCAAGGAACTTTGTGGCTTTGAAGAATCATCAAGTCAGCCGGGTTACATAGATCCTTGCTGTCTCGAAGCAATCGGAGACAATTTTGAAGGCTTTGGGGGTGACTAGGAGGGTACATGGCGACAACTTCTTGGGCGACGAACTCGGCAACATATGCGATCTCCGTGACAGGATTCAAAGTGCTCGACGAGAACCAACTCCCGGTACGTAATCCAGTGAGGTGCCCACCGTCGCCGAGCCACATCATTCGTCTTCGGAGACCGCTATGTACTATGTACTTTAGGTGACGGAGATCGGTAAGGATCGGCATCAACCAGGGTTCAAAAATGGCTCAACCGAATCGGCATTTGCAGCGTTTGGTGTGTAAACACCATGGCGATGATCTATCTTTCTGGGCATTAATAGCGCAATTGTATCTTCGAGGGTGACTATTCTTTTTAACAAGATGCTATGCCACTTAAATGAAGACCTATTTCCAAGTTTTTGAACTTCCACCACCTCACTTCGTCCATTGATCTTACACAGTCACATCACCAATCAGGATCAGTATCCCCTTTATCCATACTGTCAATTTTCTCATCTCTTAAAAGTTAGTTACGAGAGCTTTGGTATTCCGACACAAAATCTGAATCATGAGACTGGTTTTCACTTCCTCCTTTCTACTCCTTGTTTTGACATTGTGCTTGTCTGTAACAGCAATACCTCTTCCGGCCAAGCCCCATCATGATGACCACAAATCAAAGACAGAGGCCAAAACACTGGCAGGGGGCATCATAACTGGTCTGAACGGATTGAAGATCGAAGGCTATTTCAGATTTGTACAACTCTCCAATAACGCAGGCGTCAGTGTTGACTTTGTTGTTGAAGGGTTGGACCAAAAATTCAAGGCCAAAGAGGATATCAACTATCACATTCATGAGAAACCAGCAACCAAAGATTGTTCAGGTTTAGGACCAAAACTCATAGACTTTTCAAAAGATCATAGACCACTCAAAGGAGTCAAGACAAACAGACAGTCTTTTATTGATCACACTCTGTCACTTTTTCCTGTTAAAGGCAAGACAAGTATAGTTGACCGGAGTATCACCATTCATGATGGGGTCACCACCAACTATCTTGGCTGTGCCACCATTCTTGTATGATAGAGGTACACTCTGACATCCAATTCACTTCAGTTTCAAATCATCAGCCATCTTAATTTTGTTGTAATGTAAGCCTTGTTTGACTTTCCTTCAAATATCTATTGCTTAGAGATCCATATCAATACTAAACTATCACCTTTGCTTATTCAGTGTCAAAAATATCTATTTTGCTTGAAACCCCCTAATGTTACTAAGCCTGGTTTGGCAATGAATATTCTCCAATACCGTTCATGACTTATGTTTATACATCTTCATGGACCTCCAGGCGCAATTTTCCGACTCAAGATCCAAAAAGGAGTCAACATGAATACCTAAATTAAATCTGGAAATTTTCACAACGACGGTGTATGTGACTCTTTGACTTAGCAAAAGCATAGAATTTTTGCCTCAAATTTTGTGGAAGGCAAAATGGTAAATCATTGAAGTATCTTTGGGGGTCTTCTGGTGACCACCCCTTCATTCTGCCTCACACATAATTCACATTGAAGTGTACTCAAAATAGTGCAATTAGAGCATCCACAGCCATACTTTAAATTTGTATTGTACAGAGGGTTGCACAGATTGTTTAGGGAAGCCTTTGAGGTATGAAATTTGAAACATATACAGCTGTGTTTCCCTACAGTATGACTTGTGGCCTAATTGAGGATGTGTGATAGGGGTTAGTTGATCATTGAGGGAGATGATGTGCACAGATTCCAGTTGTGCAAGTTGCAGTACATGGAAGACGTGAGGTACAGAAGGATTTAGGGTGCAAGCGTAAAAAGAAGGTAGAACTCATAACCCACCAAGGGCTATACAAAGCTTGAAGGGGATAATCTACTAATACAATAAATAGCCAAAGCTGTCTAAAGATTGCCCTTCTAAAACAAGACAATCATAAAAGAAACTCTGTTGAATTGATTACTGATAAGTTCAAGACAAAAGTGTCTTTAACAGTTTTAGGAGAACAAAAATCACAAGTTCAAAGCAAAGGTAGCCTTAGAAAGCAATTGATTAGAGTGAAAAGCACCTATTTTAATTATTTCTCAACACTTTGTGGTGTGATTACAGTCAGATAACAAAATAAAAGCTGATTATCCTCTTGATATTATTCCCAAACTACTTTAGAAGTCTGCAAACTTCACTCAACACGCAAATCAAACTGTAGCACAGTGGAAAACAGTCTTGGTGTTGGTACTGTACGGTCAAGCTGTAAAACCTCACTGTAACCGTAGTGGAGTCAATATAATTATCTGGTCAATCCTGCACTACGGTGAGGTCAACCTGTAGTGCACCAGACCGTAGTCACTGCAGCAACCACAGTCTACGGTGACTACAATCAAAAAATTAAAGAAGTCGCAGGTTTGAATTAAATTAATTGTAGAGTAAAAAGAAAGACAAACTGTATTGAAATAGGTGTAATTATAAACTAAATTGATAGGAAAAAAGAAGCAAAACATGTTGATGAGAGCAACAAACATTAAAATTATATGAATCATTAAATCAATGAAGGAAACAGAAGAGGGAAAAGGAAACATGCAGAATGATTCAAATCTCCTTGCTCTTCTTTTTTCCCTCACACAATTCATGTTCTAATAAATAAGTCACTGCTTCCTGAAACTCACCAGAAGGAACTGCTTTGTTCTTTAGCCATTCTCAGCAAGCAACAGACTGTGAAGCTATTTAAGGCTTGATGGAGCCTCTACTTGAAACTGTGATGTCAGCTGCCGATGAGAAGGTATGCTCAACCGCGCACAAGGTACCTGGTAAAGATAAGTAATCTCAAGCCATGGTGGCTAAGATTGGGAAACTATTTTCATTACTCTACATCAACAAATGTAATATCAGTAAAGAGCATAGGAGAAAGTTAAGGCAAAACATCCACTAACTGTCCACCAGTTAAGCGCACTGGTTCCTTTGCCAATTGGATGGGCACCCTCAAGGTAACATTTCAGTTCCACCTGGCCATCCTGAACAGTTTCAGTCGCCGGCGCAGCTGGAAACAAGTTATCCTCCTTGTCCTCACTCTCAGGTTGATTTGTTGAGATGATTTCAACTGAAGGTGCACGTGGTTCTGGAAAGTTTTCAGAATACTGAGAGAATATTGAGTCCAGAGAGATCTTTGCCTGAATAGCCACATTGGGATAGAACTTGTCGATATAATTCAATCTGTGTTGAGGTTTAAGGATTTTTGCCATCTGGACAGCCTCCGTTTTTGCCACCTCATTTGTGTACCGTTTGATATACTTGACCATTGTGGTGATCATTGTGTCCAGGCTGGGATAGGCACTGCTTGGCTGTAGTACCCGCAATTCAGACTGTACCTTGCAAAATTGGACAAGACTTTGCAACCCAAAGCAAAGTCACCTTCCATTTGTTTAGTAGCACGCTCAAATACCTGGGTCAAACATTCTTCAATTGAAAAAGTTCTATCAACAAAAAGAGATACAAAACATAAAAGTACACACCTCAAGCACTTTGTTCACGGATTGCACTGCATCCCATTCTTCCTCCAAGATACTTGAACCTTGGAAGAAACAATTAGTCTTTGAGTCTGTGTGCGGCATTCCATTGATAATATTCAAATACAACAAACGTCAGAGCTATACACACCAAACAATCATTAAGTGAAGTCTTACCTCATGTCCAGCCGCCGCACGCCTTTGGCTATTGGCCTTTGCATTCCACCTTACTCCCCATCCATGGATGATGCTTTTAAGCCCTTGTTTTTTTGCATGTGTATTGAACCATTTCGGGCCCAAGGAATTCAAACAGATCAAAGATATGACCTTATCACACTAGAGTGAATTTGATGAAGTAAGCTGCTAGCACACCAAGATTGAAGACCTTATTGACATACTGACCTTTAATAAAGCACACTTCACTAGCTCGGTTGTGTCACTTGGGTCACCATCTTCACAATCAATATTGTTAGATGTTGGTACTAAACCAGCATCATCTTCATCAGAAGAATCAGACAACTGAACTTCAACGTCATCTTCACCGGTATTGAGCACCAAGGTGGGTATTGGAATGGTTGCCCCTGGTCAAGTTGTTGGTTTTATGCGACCCACTGAGATGTTCATTGTCTTGAGACCGTGCTTGACAAGCAGTGCAAGTTTATGACAATAGCATCTAACATAATTTGAGGAAGAATCACAATAGACTGAATTGTCCAAGTTCTTGAACATCTTCTCCAGTTCATCAGCTATTGTTCTGTTCTTGGCACTTGAGTCCGTAGTCCGTGCCAATACCTATTGGACAATGGTCAGAATTTGATGATAGATAGAAGTTATAAGATTTGAACGTACTTTCTTGTGAAGTCCATGTTTTATCAGGAACTTCCCAACAGGCCTGGCGAGCAGCACACCACAGTGGTGCCACGTTACCAACTTCAGAGTTAGATGGCTGGATTGAAACTTTGACTTAGAATCGATCCATGTTGCTGTAACACTGATCAAAGCTAAACAGTTTCCCTTTGTGGTCCATCCATCGTGGATCAGGCATATCTTGCTTTGGTTATTCTGTGTTGATCAAATCAAAACCATGATTAGTTTTTTTGTTCCAAAGAAAAACAAAATATGACTAACTTTGGTCTTTCTCAATAGCAGATCATACATTCAGAAATATAAATCCTTTGCAGTCATGGTGGCCCAAGTTGAGCTCCTGATATTAGCAGAAGGTGAGTGAGGTGAAATGCTGCTTGGAGGGTCGGATCTTGAAATCGGACCCATGGCAGGGCATGACACAAGACCCAGATGCCCAACAGCACATTCAGGATATCAACACTGAATGGTGGTTGGTTCATGAAAGATTTCATCAATTCCGCTGATGAATTTGTGGCTGATGACTTTGTTGCAGCCTTGCAGGCCTTCTGGCGCTCTTGATAGGTTGGTGGGAGTCCATGATCTTTCTGTTTCATTGCATTAGCACAGCCCTCACAAGGACCTCAATTCTTCCCGCCGTCTTGATGGCCATAGAGGTTGCTGGTTGCGTCTATACAGTGTGTGAAGGTCTACGTACACCATTTACATTTGTATCCACGTAGAACTTCAACAGGCTGGCAAAAAGGAAGTCAGTTACGGAAGCCACTGTGATGGTAGGTTGAGAAAAACCAACATCCTCCTCCATCTGGACAGGTACCAGTTTATTGTAAGACAAGAGGTGTGTGACGGCTTTGCTTTGAGTTCGGAAGGGGTTTGTGATAGGTGCATTTGGGCTGCCTTGATCAACATCAATGTCCTTGGGGACAGTAAATTCCTGATGATAATACATAAGATAAGCATGAGTGGGCACAACATATGTATGGGACTGCAAATGATACCGGAAACTCACAGTGACTTTGGCCTGTGTCGTTTGTTTCCCCTTTTGAGACTTTTTGACTTTTTTTGATGTGATGTTATTGGTTTGCTGGACACTTCTTTGACAGGGTCTCTGAGGTTTTGGTCTTTGTCTTCAGGATCCTTCTCTTCATTGGCTAGATCTTCTTCTGGTTCTGATTGAGCATTGTCTTCATCAGGCTGATATAACATTGACACAAATCTGCTGATATTGGTATGAAACCAGGCTCTTGACAAGCAGGGCTTGGTTGAGTTGAGCGTTGAGATGGGCCAGGACTAGATGGGTGTGATCCAGAAGATTGGTTAGAAGAGACACCAAGCTGAGAATTAGGATTGAGGAATGAAGCCATTGCTTGACACTCTTGGAATTTTGCGTGTTTTTGGCGCATAAAATAACAAATAGATAAATGGGGATATGGAAGTTTTAATAGGAAGTGGAAGCTTGAAGCGTTAAATTGAGAAATGAAAAATGATACAAGGTATTGAAAGAGGATAAGAAGAATGGCAGAACAGATAGACAATAACCAAAAACAGGAAGAACAACAAACAAGTGGGAGGAAAGGGATGGGAGGTTGCACTTACCTGTACTTACCAATCCCTTGCTTGAAGGTACCTATTCCAGAGCCAAAGTGAAGACTTGATTGGGATTTGAAGGTGCTGCAAATGTTGAAAACAAATAAA